TTCCTTTCCCTGAAAGGGAGCCGTAGCGCTGGATGAAGTCGTGGCGCGAGTCCTCACGGGGTGTAAGAGGCGTGAGGAGGGGGCTTCTCTGCCGAGCGGTGGGTGGGCCCTGAAGGATTCTGTGTGTTAGTGCTTAACGTGGTCAACCAGGTTTGGGCCGTGGGAGGACCCTGCGCTTACCCTGCGATGCGGTGGGGGTGTTGCTGCTGGGTGGGGGCGGTTTTACGTGGTCATGGCTCCAGCATAAAGGAAGTGATCTGCTGTGTCTGGAGCAGAAACTAAAACCCAGTGGAAGAGGTTGACTGCTTGTCTGGGCTGGAGGCAGAAAGCATGGCACGACCTGATGCGCTGCCCGCCCCGGGGGCAGCCTCTCTGTCCTGGGGGCTCTCGGCCTCACCCACCTTCCTCTGGGTCTGGCTCTGCGGCACGGACAGACATCGCAGAGCCGCCTTGTCATCTAATCGCTGGGTTTTTTTCCTTCCTGCATCCAAGAAAGCCCGAGCTGGGAACCCAAGTCTCGCAGATATTTAACGCCGCGGTAGTTCTGGAAGGCCCCGGGCTTGGCTGCAAGTTAAAGGGTTAATAAGAGGTCTGTGCGTGGTCAGCGCATCTGCACGTGGCCCTCCCAGTGCTAATGAACAGATGGCGATGATCCTGCGGAGCCTACGGCTCCGTCGGACGCAGGGAAGGTGCCGATCCCACCGCAGAGGCTGGGCCTGCGCGGCTGGTGGAGCAGGAGCCAGCTGAGCAGCGTCAGCACAAAACTGAGTTTGGCCGGGGAGCGGGATAGCATTTCCTCATGGCTCGACAAACATTCCCTGTTGCTGTAAGAGGAGAAGCTGGGAAGAAATCAGCCATGAGTCAGGGCTTGTTTCAGAAGCCTTAAACCAAGGGGGTGCATGAGGCTTTTTTGTGATGCCTCACGGTGATTAACCCTGTCTGACTGTGGCTTTTTTTATTTTGACAGGATCATCTACTTTCAAAAAATCGCTCACCCCCGAGGTAAGTTCCTGAGCGAGGAGCTGGTTTGTTCGCTGGTGGGGAGAGTGCCCGATGCCAGGCGGGAGACTGGAAAAAGGGAGGCCGGTTCAGGGTATCCCAGGCAGTGGCACAGTAAGTTGCAGATGTGGGAGGGCAGAGCGCTTCTACAAAGAGAACCTACACTAAAAAACACAGCTTATCCTGAAACTGAACCATTCTGCCCCCAAAACACCGCGTGGATCTGCCCCCAGCGAGACTCGGTTTGACTAGGAGACACCGTTTACCAGCCGCGGGTGCTGGAGGGCGGCGAGTTGAGCGAGCTCCTGGGGCATGAATCAGGGTGGAATTTGCCATCTTCCTAAAACATCTCCTCCAAGACTTGGCCGTACGGGCAGAAAGCACGGTGACGGGCGGCGGTCGGTCCACACCTGCTTGGAGCCGAGGTGCCTGTGGTGAGACAGCAGCACACCCTGCCGGGTGGCCTTGCGTGAAGGTGTTTCTCTCCAAGCAGGCATCTGCCCGCACTCTCGGAGCAGCCAGTAGGCTCTCTGGAGGCATTTCAGTCCCGTTTTGCACATTTTATCCCCTTGGCACGTTTGTGGGGGGACCCGTGGTGTCAGCACTTCGCAGGCTCTATCTTTGAGAGTGGCCAGATTGCACCAGCTGGTTCTGGGCGGCTGCTGGGACGTCAGGGTTTCCACCCTTGGTTCTTACCTTTTCTTCCAATCCCAGATGCCAGGTTCTTCCGGGCAGCCAGGCTCGCAGACGATAAAGAAAGGACACAGAGGAGTGGACTCTACGGGCGAAACCACCTATAAAAAAGTAAGTTGCCTCTTGCACAGCTCATCTGACTGTTGTTCTCTGTGAGCGCTGCCTGGAGCGGTTGGGCCTTAGACAGCAGGAAACGTCTGTGACAGTCACTGGGGAAGATCTCGGAGGGAAGGAAGCGAAGGACTCCAGGGTGTGCTGCTTAGCTTCTCGTCTGTCACCTCCTAAAGAGGATTATTATTAAGCTCTGCCCATTAACCGCGCTTCCGAGGCCTCTCCTGGCTTGTTGGGGGCCCTCTGGGCTCTTTACGTCTTGGGGCGTTGCTGGAATTTGCTTTACAAAGGGGAGATTGTTTGGGTGTTTGTAAAAAGCCTGGAAACATGGGCATTTTGTGGATGCTGCTTCCAGTTCATTGGGCTTCCTGAGAATGAGCTGACCTTCTCTGGCGTGAGGTTGACATCCGGGATGTGGATTCAAGGGGTGACAGCTCGGTGGGGGTGTGTCACCGCGTTGTGTAGGCAAAGCTTCTGGAAGGAAACCTTGGAATTGGCTGTACCTTCACCTGTCCATCGGTGTCGGAGTGGGAGGGGGGAATTCCAATGGTGTTTCCACATAAGCTGCCTTTTGTTATACTGCCCTTTCTGGGAGTGCCTGTGTCTCCAGGGTTGGGATCCAGCTCTTGGCTTCGCAGCCAGTTCCGAGGTAGAAGGTTAGACAGCTGGAATCATGGAATCATGGAATGGTTTAGGTTGGACCTTAAAGACCATCCGGTTCCAACCCCCCTGCCATGGGCAGGGACACCTTCCACTAGACCAGGTTGCTACAAGCCTCATCCATCCTGGCCTTGGACACTTCCAGGGATGGGGCATCCACAGCTTCTCTGGGCAACCTGT